CTTCCGACATTTCATGTATCAAGCTTGCTAACGAAGCCGCAAAATGACTAGAGCCATCGCGCGATCCAAAGTAACGAAATTTTCGAGCAGGGCGCGCTTGATGGACTATCAAAAACGTATTAGATCCTCGTTTGGAAAACAAGAACGAAAAAGGAGATAAGGTTCGGTACTGGACCTTCAGAGATTTCCTGATTTTGATGGAATCCAGGGGATGCGGCAGTCCTGCTTTTTTTTTATTCAAACAAGGCAGCATAACAGCGCTGATCGGAATAATCCAGTCCTTCCTCCTTGTTCGCAAGGTCGCACGTAAATCTTCGGCAGAATCCGGGCTAGAAAACGGGGGATGAACGACACTTCCGCTCCCTGGCGCGATACTTATTCAAGCTGGGAGTAGAGCCGCAGGCTTTTCCCCGATCGAATTACTGGGCTGCTTTTTTCCGTCGTTCTGGATACAGTAACGTCTTGCTGGAATAACTTCATCCTACGAATTCCGAAGCGGAATCCGGCAGAGTCATTCGAATTCATCTTCTCTCGAGTAAATCGATTTGGGTGAAAGGGTCGTTTACACGACTGGATTATATAGGTAATATAAATTCCAAAGACTTTTAGAGATCCTTGGCAAGAAGTATTAAATGAAAATTCTTAAATTAAAACACTTTTCGAATGAGTATGATTCATATGAATCGGCTATCACTGAGAAATCAATTTAGTTGAATCAATTAATTTCTTGTTTGGATATGGGCAAACAAATTCTTGGTTGATGTATTAAAATGATATAGTCGAAACACAAAGCAGTGTTTATTATAACATTTTACTTATTTCTACATTGAGATTTGATAAATTTATTTATCAAAAACAAGTAAAATGCCATAATAAATGAACGTTTTGCTTCAACTAAATTATTTTATTGCATCAATCAAGGATTTATTTGCCCATATCCAAATAAAAAAATAATTGATTCAACTAAATGGATTTCTTAGTGTATCGGAAAATATTTTTATAGCAGATTGTAGAGTAAACAGGATTCGTTAGTTTGATACAACGATCATGTTCTTCTTAATTCTGTTCATTCAAGATAAGAAAAGCTGTTAGTAAATAAATATTTGTTTATAATAACTTTTAGAAGATTAGTGAAATTGAATTTTACATAGATATACATTTACTTTCTTGTATATATCGCAAAGTATATAATGATAAAAAATATTGTAAATAAAGAATGTATTGACTGTTCCTTTTGAGACTTTTCCTTATTGTTTTGAGTTAATTGACATGTAATGTAATTCCACATACGGAATTAGTAATGCAAATGTTGCGTTTTCATTTCACGAATGAACACTTTGTATAATCCGTATATGGTGGTAACAAGTTGCTTTCGGTGCGTATGCAAATATAATTAATATCCCGATTTCGAGTTGTTATTGAAACACTGACGCAATGTATTAACGTAAATACCACTTGCAAACTTTCGAAATGCATTGGTGACGTTAGTAGAATCAGATGAGATCGATTCCGATCAACATTGGAAATATTGTGGTGCTCTTCCCTTCCTGTTTTATCTCGCTATCGATACAACTAAATTAGAATTATATTTATTATAGTTACAAAAAATAAATAAAATTTACAAAAATAAAAAAATTTTTAAGAGTTTTAAATTATTAGTTATATTATAAAAAATTTAAAAGAGTTATAAAATTATTAGTTACAAAATAATTTCTGTATGTTGCAAATGTTTACGGTTTAACGTAACTTTAACTAAACTTTAGTTCTCTTATAAAGTTCTTTCCTTAAAATTTTCCTTAAATATTTAATTTTGATATCGTAAGACGTAATGTGTAATGAAAAATATTTTTAATCATACACACATATTTAATCTTGAGATTGTAATGATATTTGTGTTTAAATGCATTATTATAATATGTTAATTTTCAAATATATAATTGTGGTTCGCAAGATATCCGACAACACGTTTAATAGATATTCTAAGTATTTCGCGTTTTAAGTGTACATTATATAAACAACACATTAATGTTGGGGAAGGAAAACTACGCGAATTTCCAGCCTTGGATATGTTGTAAACAGTTTTGCTAAGTCGGCAAAAAGACCGACGCGACATAAATGTCTCAGTTAGCTTTGTCCAAATTTGCCTTGCGATAACTCCATACACACTGTCTACTTTCTGCAAGTCAAACCGCTGACTTTCTCAATGAATTGCGACGTTGTATCTTTACATTTTATTGCTCAGCTTTCTCCACGGAGAAGCTTCGTGAGAATATTTATAAAATTAATTTTGGAAATGGAAATATATTTAGGAAAATGGATAATAAAATTGCAATTTTGCATTATTTTTATGAGAGTTACTTATTATTCAGTATTAAATATAATAAAAATTTTTCTTTTTTTATTAATTATATATTAGATAAAAAATTAATCTTCATTTTTTATTTACTTTCAATTATCAATTTTTTTTTTATTATATCATAAAGACATGGTTATTGTAAATTTTCTGGCAGTTTACAGTTAATTACAGCATTAAGTTAATTACTCGGAAATGGGTTTGTATGCATCAAGATGACGTGATAAAAGATCTAGTCGCAAGAACTAAATTGTAATTTTTGCATATAGTATATATACTACAATCTAATTAGTAGCATTACGGAAATATTTGAATGTTTTTCTGTATTATGCAACAACAAAGTCCTTTTTTGCTTGTCTTTCCTTTAAAATCAACTTGAATCAACACACCGTCGAGGAATTTGTGTGAATTTCCGTAGTTGGTCTTCGTTAGATACGTAATCCGTATGCAATTGCTCCTCTCTAATAAGAACGCTGTGTATCTGGTCATAAAACGAAAAGCTCGCGCGAGCAGCAAGTTAGTTGTCTGATGCTTTGTGCTCGTAGAGTAGCAGTCTCTCTCTTGAAAAAGCAGCAGCTACTATTCCGACGCATAATACTTCTCAGTGCACCAGTGTAGCGAAATGTAATATAATGTCATTTCCTTATCTCTCATAGTGTTCATAGTGCTTTTGTTTAGAAAAGAATACTTCTTTGACTGAAGCATCATTAGTTCAAGAGGAATCCTTAATTAATTAATATACTTTCGCAACGACTTATATTGAGCAGCGACTTAAATGGAAAATTATATTACATTTTAACAACTTCGGTACAATTCTGTATAACTCATGCAAAGCTTATCAAAGCACCGTCGTAGTTAGTTAGTAATTATTGGAATGAAAACACGGTCATGGCGTTCTGCAAGTTATCGGTGATGCGTGATCGAATATCCCTTGTCTCCTCCCCTTCTTCCGGAAATAACTGGAACTCACGTTATTGAGTAAATGGCGGTAAATAATTGCATCGTTAACGAGTAATCAAACCAGTTGTTCGTTCCCACAATTAAATAAGTACATTTCGCAGTTCAGCTATAAAAGAAAAAAAGTGTCCGCGAATCAAAGCGAAGATTTGTGAAGTTTGTAGAAAGATATAATAATAATTATACGATTAATTGCCGCTATTGTAATGAATTATTATGATCAACTGATCAGTGTTTCTGTGTTTGAATATTTTAAGGTCGTAGTATGTAATGCAATAAAATTATCCGAACAATATTATCCAAAACTTGGAGAAACCTTGGCGCGCAAAGCCACCATTGGTATTTATTGAATTACGCAATATTGACTCCTGTTATGCAGATAATGTCGATATATTCCCGGAAATATATATATATATATATATATATATATATACTTAGCAAACCAGGCATTGGCGGAAACTTCGCGAAATATCAAATCTTTGCATGCTGCGGAAACTCCTGTTCTAGGTAACTAGAAGATTGAACGTCTTGATTAAATATTAAGCCTTAATAAGGTGCACAGGGGAATTACGTTAAAATTTGTATGATATACGCTGCATAATGTATTCTATTAGTTTGCTATTTTTGAACAAATCACGTACTTCTTTTATTAAAAGTTTGTAAGTTCAACAGTTGTTGTATGCGCGCGAGTAGTTGAACGTAATGCTCAGATAATGTACCACGAGCGCGAGGACAAAGATAATACACGATAAAGCACGACAAATTTTTCAATTTTAATTAAGTGTCAGTCAAATCCGCAGTCTCAGTCAAAAATCCGAAAAGATAATAGTCGCCCTCCATCCACCTTTGAGCAGGTTTAACTCTTCAAACAGGCGTCATGCATATTCTATCAACGACCTAACCAGAAACCGCAGGCCAGCCTTGCGGTGATGTTAACCCAGCAGCTCTACTAGGATCTATATAGCCTTGACATGGAGGTATGCCTGGGATTGAGGATTTCGAAAAACGATGAAGCAACCGTAACCGCAACAGCGGCCTCCGATCTACCTTTGACACGACGGAAATATTGCAAAATTCTTTTTTTCCCCCTAATATCTAGGCTCTATTTAAAAATCACAATAAAAAAGTTATAAACCCTCGAGATCAAATAAGTTTTTTAATTTTTTAATTTTGTGTCCCGGTAAACGTATAATGTACCGCTAGTGAGCTCAATAAATATGTCAATTAAACGCTTAAAATAATAGGATAATATCTTTTTTACATGAAAATTAATAAAATCTTAATTTATTCGATAAAATAATACTGGATTTAACATCTATTGTTCTGACACTAAATAATTAATAATGCTGCTTGGTTCCTTTTAGGTCACAGCAATTTATTTATATAGCAATTTGTATATTTATCACATCATGTCGAGTTACAAGAATAATTTTAAAATTAAATTTTAAAATATTAATTATATATTTATCTACCTCAAATATTGTAAACAAAGTTTAGCAAGCATATTTGATATTATGTGAACGCACATTTAGGTTTCCGTTTATACTTTATTTGAATTATAAGGTGAAAACAAGGTGCACGAGTAAATATTTTTCATAATGCTGTTGGACGCGGATTTGTTAACGTAATTAGCGAGTTAATTTCAAGAAGGAGAGAGTTGTAAAATACTGAAATTACTGTTGTCACTTACCTCCTTATCGCCCAGCTGATGAACTCTGCAGTGAAGAAAGGCGGTCTGACCGACTGCGGTAGTGACATTCCGTGGCACATTTGTTTCGAAAGCCGGCACGCCGCTGACGTTGCGACTTCCCTGAACCAGACTACCGCTCAAAACTCTCTGATCGCGAGTGAACGTACCTGCGTGACATAAAACAAATGTCAGCGTCAGAAATTAGCATGTCCACAGCTGAATCGTAAAAGTTGTTAAACGGTTTTAAGCTAAATAAAGTTTACAGCATTTTACCGGCTTGAAATTGCGATCAAACGAAAATAATTGAGTAACTTTTCCTTTCTCTCGTATATTAATATTATATTTCTAAGATTTTGAGTAAATCGGACCTTTGAAGGAATAAGGATTAATAAGGATTATTTCTGTTTTCAGGTCGGAAGCTATTTGCAAAAGGGAAATGCAATTTGGTGAGTCAGTTTATAAAATTAAAGATAAATATATATTCTTCCTACGCAATTTAATAATAAATGTGATTGCTCCATTTAACTTGCACTTACGTGGAATATATACATAATGTTTTATTTCTGTGAACTGTAACAGTATAGATGGTTGCAGTTTTTAACTACACCTTAATTTTAGACTACGATCATATTGAGGTTTTTTTTATTTACAATATATAAGATAAACTTATAAATTTCGCGATCAACGGTATATTTAATCAAATCGAATTATATTTCTCTTGTACAAGTTTAATCGAATTTGAATTACTAAAGGACCCCGCACTAATCTTGTGTAAAATGGATCCCAGTCGAATTGAGGCTGAAATTTTACTATAATGTAGATCATAATGTCCTAATCAAAAATCCTCATGGGTACAAGGTCCAAAAATGGACAGTTTTCGAGATATTGGAAATCAAATGTTGGAATTTAATCATATTTCCAATATTTGACAATATTTCCAATATCACGAAAACTGTCCATTTTTTTATCTTGTGCCCATGAAGACTTTTGATCAGGACATCATGATCTACATTATAGTAAAATTTCAACCAATTCGACTAGAATTTATTTTACATAAGATTTGTGCGGGGTCCAAAAATCTTATGTAAAATGGATCCCAGTCAAATTGGCTGAAATTTTACTATAATGTAGATCATGATGTTTTGATCAAAAGTCCTCATAGGCAGGAGGTCCAAAAATGGACAGTTTTCGAGATATTGGAAATCAAATGTTGGAATTTAGCCATATTTCCAATATTTGATATTCAACTTATGTACAACCTTGTGCCAATGAGAACTTTTGATCAGGATATCATGATCTACATTAACATATACATAAACAAATCTAAATATCACTAAAATATCACCAAAATTTTTTTATACAAATCTGTAACTATTCTCGTAATCTTGCATTCCTTGAAACTCGTCTTTGTTATTATTGAAACTATTTCACGAGTTCATCTTATTGTCAGAATCACGAGAAATGCATATCAGACAATGCGTCGGATATATCCATTATATCGAACGTTAGTGTTGACGTTATCGAGGCAAATGGTAGCTTTCGACGGATGCCGCGAGCGTCTACTTAGTTATCGATTGTTAGTGACGGAACTAGATAAGCTTGCGAGTTTGTATTTGATCTGGAGCTAAGACACAGATCACAGATTAATTTGTAGTATGCGGAGGACTGGAATAGGCGAACTTGTATGATCTGGCCCTTCATCCAGGTTGTTTTGCACAAGGATCAGTTCCGGCACAGTATGTTTTGCGAATGGAACGTTACGATGTGTTGCGCACACTGACGACGGTTATTTCACCGATATTAGCGTTAGATTGGTCGCTAATTACTGCCGATATTCATATTAGCCATATAATGACCATGTCGGGAATTCCGCGAAGGTATCCGTTTATTAAGATATTATCTTTGGTGTTGTTTTTATAATACCCATATACGGTTCATCATAATTATAGAATAAAATAGTGCTTTAATATTATATTAATATTTCTAAATGAATTTTGTGGAAACGAAATTTTCTTTGATTTTAGAGAACTTTTTGCATATTGTGATAAAGTTTAAAATTTTTATTGTAATTTATATACATGTATGTATATATATATATATGTATATATACATACATACATAGAATATGACATAGAGCAAACATATACGTTTTTAAACTAATAATCCGCTTCTATTTGTCTTTAGAAAAAAACTTGTTTTAGATGAAATATTTAATAAAACATTCAGCTGCAGAGCAATGCTACCGCGTCCGCTATGTCAGCACAAATATAATATAATAAAAATATGAAGGTCCTAAAGTTCAAAGTATCTCTGGGAATATTAAAAGTTATTTTATACTTTTTATGTACTTTGAGTTGCATAAATTGACATAGGTACGTATAGAACTCAAAAAATATATTCAGAAATTGCATTATATTTCATTTCTTTTTGCAAAACTATGTAAACTTCACTAGTTAACCCATGCATGGAAGCTGAACACATTTGAATAAGGTTTGAATTTTGTACATAAAGTTCGTCGTTGAAACAAGTCGATTTCTCTACCGAATTTCTGAATTTTTGTATTATTCCTTCGAAAATTCTATTTTTAGTAGTGCTTAAAATAAAATTATATAAATTAAAGCATTGTAATGTACTAAAGAAACTCACAATCATAGTTATAACAGAAACCTTTCATTTTATAAACATTATATAAACCAATCTCTCATTTTATAAATAAGAAAATAGTTTATTATTGTTATGTGTTCTATTTCTTGATATTAAAATTTAAACGTCTTTATATTAACAATATATTTTGAAAAAAATACATGTATTCTCTCTCAAAGAAGATTATAATATCGAAAATGTATACGAAACACTTATTACAAAAGTTTATGTAAAGGGGGAAAGATAAAGAATTCCATTAAGCACTACATGTATTTGCAAGCTGCATTCACGTTATGTAGTAGCTGTAGTTTATTTATGAAGGAGTAACTAATCCAGGATATGAATGCTGAGGCTTTTGACCTCGTTGGATATTAGTACTCTTTATAAGTGGTTCCAGGCAACATTTGTATTCCAAGCACTCGTATGTGGCAGCTGAAAAGGTACGTGCTTCTCAGTGAAACAATTACAACGGTCTAAAAGAGGTTTTTGGCTTTTATGACTTTATTGCTAGATTCCACAGATGATTAATTATAATCATAATTATTCGAAATATCCTCTCTTTGGTATTCGGACATATATTTTCAGCGTATTATCTGAAGATGACGTAATGAGAAAAATTAATAATTTTTATGCTACACGAATTAATAATAAAGAAGAAGAAAATGTGATATTTTTTATTTTTACAATTTACACAAAATTTTCTAAATTTTAAATTTCATTGAATCTGTATTAATGTAAAACGCTTCTTAAATCATTTGTTTGAGATCTAATAATAAAGTTCAATCAATTTTTAATTGTTCGCTGTTCGGTCATAAATATGATTTAAATTTAGGTAATATATTTCCGTATATACATTTATATTTTTTTCATAGAAAAAAAATTTAAAACGTCGATATCGGTTGTGACGTATCACTTTTTTCTTTTTCTGCTGGGTTATTAACGACAAATGAATCAATTTGTTTCGACGTACCATCTCGATCCATTTAATAACAGATAGCAGGCATGTGCAATCGATATGAGTAACGGTCCAACGCTTGTGAAGATGCGCATGCAAGCGTCAGCGTGATTTCTCTTCAGGTGTGCCAGCGTAATTCGTATCAAGTTAACGAATTGTATTTCATCGAAAACCGATTGACTGTCGTTTGCACTTTCGCGGTGCGATGACAAAAGCATCATACTTTGCGACCCGCGTATCGGAACAGTTCGTGAATGAAACATCGACACGCGCGTGTACTAATTCAATCGTAATCGGATACAAAAGGTCACGATCAGGAAGCAGTTCTGGAAATAGACCGACAGGAAATGAGAATTTTTCCAGTTATGGAAAAATTCTCATTCCCAATTCCGTTTGCAAACGTTTGCAAACGCAAGATTATTATTGGAAATCAAGTGGTATATTGCTCGCGCTATTGAGAGAGAGAATGAGACAGTGATATTATCTAAAATGTCAAATAATGAAATGCGGTCCGATAATGGTCAATATTCAAAATATCAGCACCACGTTATCGGTTTGCAAAATCGATCTTCACAATTACATATCGACTAAATGCACCGTATCGTTTATAACTTTATAAAACTTTGCTCGTTTTGTTTGAATTACTACAAATATATTTCTGTACGAAAAGGATGATTTTGCTGAAACATCTAAAAATTTAGCGGATACAAATCTGAAAATAATTATGTAGAATGCTCAAACTGATTGTTAGAATATCAAAACTTTTGCATGCCTCCGCATAATGTTTTATGTGATTATTTTGACGGTGTAACTAAATTATTTTCAAATCTGTATCTATAGCTAAATTTTTAGATACTTCGGCAAAATCGTTTTCTCCATGTGAGGTTCTCGTTGTCAGTATTATAGAATTTTTTTTATAATATAAATTCTGCAATCGTGTCACTCGTTGTATATCTTGATTAACCTGATGCAGTTTACAGGAAAGCGCAACCGTTTTGTACCGAAATAATTTGTCATCGTCGCGACGAGCGTTTCCATATTCCGCGACCGAGTTTTACAAGGGTGCCACGGTGATTCGCGTTGATCAATAACGGGGGAATAATAAATAACGGACGGGTTTGTCGATAAAACATCGGGACCAAAAATCGCCGCTCACACGGATATGGGCACTGCGACGTGTAGTCCGCGACGCCTCGCTTGCAAAGTTATGACCTACGACCCGTAAAGCGGATGCACCATACTGCTGCGCACGTGTAGGTGCACCTGGCGTGTCCTGCGGTTACAACGTTGTAACTCCCGCTCGTTGTGCGAGAACAACGTGCCGGAACAAAGAAGCGAGGGGTTTTGTCTCGTTTCGTATAGTGCCATTCAAAGAGGATTAGATGAAGAAGCTGGCGCACGTATAACGATTCTACTCGACGTGACGATGTGTAGCAGCTGCTATCAGAGCAGTAAATGGCGATATACATAGTATGTAAAGCGATTCATAAAAATAACTAAAAGTCATTTGATTTTATCCTTATCTTTGTATAGTCTTTTTTTAAATGTAATCTCGTAATTTTAATATCA